TTAGAGATTCCGCCTTTAGAGATTCCTCCTTTTAGAGATTCCTCATTTTAGAGATTCCGCCTTTTTAGAGATTCCGCCTTTTAGAGATTCCGCCTTTTAGAGATTCCCTATTTTAGAGATTCCCTATTTTAGAGATTCCTCCTTTTAGAGATTCCTCCTTTTTAGAGATTCCTCATTTTAGAGATTCTGCCTTTTAGAGATTCGCCTTTTAGAGATTCCGCCTTTTAGGAGATCCGCCTTTTAGAGATTTCCTCCTTTTAGAGATTCCGCCTTTTAGAGATTCCTCCTTTTAGAGATTCCCTATTTTAGAGATTCCCTCCTTTTAGAGATTCCCTATTTTTAGAGATTCCGCCTTTTAGAGATTCCGTCTTTTAGAGATTCCGTCTTTAGAGATTCGCCTTTTAGAAGATTCCCCTATTTTAGAGTATCCGCTTTTAGAGATTCCCTATTTTAGAGATTCCGCCTTTTAGAGATTCCCTATTTTAGAGATTCCGCCTTTAGAGATTCCCTATTTTAGAGATTCCCCTTTAGAGATTCCCTATTTTAGAGATTCCGCCTTTTAGAGATTCCCTATTTTAGAGATTACGCCTTTAGAGATTCCCTATTTTAGAGATTCCTCCTTTTAGAGATTCCCTATTTTAGAGATTCCGCCTTTTAGAGGATTCCCATTCCCGTTCCCATTCCCCCATTCACCGTTCCTTGTTTTAGACATAGCCCTTCCCTAGAACAGTCAGGACTTTTCTCGGAAAGATCGAAGCGATTTTACTAGCACTGAGTTGGCTTCTTTTCTCAGTAATTTTATCCGAAAGGATTCGAAACAGTTTCGAAAGTTCAACGCAAATCAGAACAATACTCATGCGATCAGAAATAACTGTAATAAAGGATTCGCCGTTACGAACGTGATTCAAACTCTGCCGGCAAAATATTCTACACCGGCGGTTGAGTTTCTTTCTCGCGACAATTCACTTTGCCGAAACTTCAAATATACAGCCGACACTCTTTTATACAAATTTTGAATTTCTCTTTTACTTATTTTTTTTTTTAATTTCAGCCACATTGTACAGACAAAATAAAACCCAGCGTGTGGAACAAGGCGGAAAAATCAAAGATCCGACAATGTATAAACTGAATTCATCACGCTGGTAAAACAAGCCGTGCTTTCGTTGTTTCAAATCCGTCACGCACTTTGCTGAAACTATTGGCCGTCGCGTTCACTGACTTTATGCAGTTTTGTAATATAAAGTCTTCCTCGCTGGCATCAAGTGTATTATTTTCCAAATGTACTGCCAAAACCCCGACATGCGTAGCTATTCAGCCGGTGACTCCGTAGATAAAACTTGAATGTTGTCAAGAGGCGAACAAATTATTTCAAATCCGCCACGCACTTTTATTCGAGGAAACCTACTGTACAACCGTCCGCATTCCCAGTTTTTCACGCAGTTTGAAGTTTCTCTTTTATTGACTCGCATATATTTTCCTTCCAAATCGTACTGCTAAAACTAGTATAGAAAAAAGAGTTTGGAATCGAAATCCACGCCGTAGAAACCGCACAAAATTTCATTCATCTGTATCCATCGCGAACGAACAAGTTGCAAATTTCATTGTTCTGTACTCGACATCGGATTGCTCAATTCAAAAATGGTTGGAATGTATTGTTCCCGTTTCTGTCCTGTGATTGGTTAACTTTGTCTGGGTGGCCCCGGTGTACAGTAGTTTGACTGTAACGTGAACGAATCGCATTTCAAACGCAAATTTAGAACGTATTGGAACTACAAACATGATTTCCGTTTATTCTAGTGCTTTATTATAACTACGTGACGTCATATGTGACGTCACAACGCCTGATTATTGGTCACAATATGACCAGTTTGCACTTATAATCATTGCAGAAAAAGTTGTGGGGTTTTCAAAATTATTTCAGAAAGAGAGCAAGTAGATAAAATATATGTCTACATTGCAAGTGTGTTGAATAAAGCCCCCTCAAAACAATTGTCTGTTTCCTACCCCCAGCCCCAGTTCCCAAACACGTGGTCTCACAAACATTCAATAGGTTTTCAATAGGTCTTGGCCGCCTAAAGAGGATGATTTGAAACCAAGTAGAACTAATGACTATATTCCACATCCACACGACGTCTTTTTGACTGTGCTTATTTCTGGGAAATCACTCGACAGTGATAGTTAGTAGTGCAGAAAGAAGAATAAGGCTGAAAGAATCTTCGCACAAGATATTGTTTTTTCTGTTACCGGAATGGGGTTGTGAAAACTCCAAAAAGCATGTTATTTCCTTCTGTTGTAACGGCCCTGTGTAATAACACAGAGATTGTGAAGCTTATCAATAAGTACGGCCAGCGTAAGTTATGACCTAGTAGAAGAGATAGAGACCGAGTATGCGTTAGAAGTTACCAATGAGCAACAAGAAAACCGAGTCGTCATTCCGGCCAGTGTAACGCAAGGAGGAGTCCAGGTCCACTGTCGCGCTGATGGTGGCGGATAACATTGATAACCTAGAGTGTACACTGAGTGGGTCTGGAACATCCATCGCGTGAACTCCATCCTCGTCACGGAGAGAAATGAAGAGAGAGAGAGAGCGTAGACGAGTCAGATGACCAAGACTACGCACCACCAGTAGCGAAGAAATGCAGGAGATCCCTACCAGCGACTGTGGTGACTAGAGAGATTCCCGAGTACTAAGGCAGAAAACGTAGTACACTGCTCAGTGTCACCGCAAACAAGCCTGAGATCGTCAAATTCCTTGTGTCACAGTGGAAGACAGAAGCATTCAGAGGCAGGCTCGGCAACCGGATCATGTACGTGACAACCGAAGATCAGTGCTGGCGACTAGACATAGCCACATGCGAACCTGTTTCCTGAGCTAGAGTGTAATCACCGAAGAGGCTGATACGCGTATGGTTCTCCATGCTCGGCACGCGGGAGGCACGCGCGTCATCCACTCTGATAACCCTGATGTCTTTTTCCTACTGCTTGCTCATAGTCGAAACCTTGGAAAGTGGATCCGTGAAGATGGAAGAGGCGCGAAGACCAGAATAATAGAACTTTCTATAGTTTGTTAACAGCTTGGAGAAGCAACTCGACCCAGGCATTGACAAGCACTGCTTCAATGAAAGCCCTAATCGGCGTACACGCGATCACAGGCTGTGATACCATCTCTACCTTCTCTGGTAAGGGAAGTGGAAAGCAGTCCAGCTTCTCCAACGCAATGAAGGCACGTCCGAGCTATGGCGAGTATCGGGGAGGAGTGGGCAGTATCCGAGGAGACCTTTAAAGATACGGAGGCACTTGTGTGTCAGCTGTAGCGGGAAGAAGTGCCAGAGTGTGGATGTGCTGCGCTATGAGATCCACTGCACCAGAGGCGGGAAAGTCGAGCCAGAGGCTCTGCCGCCATGCCTGTCATCTCTACGACCTCACGTTACAAGAGCAAATTATCAAGCAGCAATCTGGAGAAGAGCCATCGTTCCACTTCCGGTAATCCCCTCCCCTCATGGGCACGGCTGGGAAGTAGACAATATCTCTAACGTTGTGGAATTTGTGTGGCTTGGATCTAAGCCGGCTCCAGAAGAGATCCTGGAACTACTCTCCTGTACGTGCAAGAGAGCATGCACAGTCGAGAACTGCTGCTGCTTGAAGGCGGGTCTGAAGTGCAACTGACATGTGCAGTATCCAGTGTGAGAATATGGCGACTGATGATGGCGTTCAGTATGAGTGGGGATAGTGACTCTGAAGATGTAGAGGATTGATACGGGTAAGGACATGTACGTTTCACAGGTGTGGGTTACTTAGAATGGCGAACAGAAAGATACTTATTACCTTTTGTTGTGTCCTTCCTTCAGGTTCGATATAGCAAGATCCCTCTTGACGAAACACATGTTGTATAACGCTTTCTGCAACTCGTGCGTAGGAACGTTTTTCTTTTTTCAGCTACGATGTTCAAGAAACAAAAGCAGTACATCACATGAACGTAATGTTTATGTTATAGATCCATGCAAGTGACAGCAGTGAAGAAGGACGTTTTACGATCGTGGCGCTTCTGTACTCAAACGAGCTCTAGACTGAAGTGTGGACCTAGTTTATCTACTCTGATTTGTGGCATATTGATTCATGGCGTAGTATGCTTAACTAAACGTAGAAAAAGACGTTAGCAATAGCTTTAAGCGTGTTTTTCTAGCATTGTGATGCAGAGCGCCTTAATGGTAATTTAGTTATTTCAGATGATTGAGATAGCGGTTGAATACACAAGCTAGAAAACAAAATGGCGGTCACTGTGATGTCATTCATGACGTCATCATAGCTTGAATAACCGTAATGCTGAAATAATATCTCAGATATGTATTATTCCAAATATACATCTAGGCAAAAAATCGCGTGCATTTAAGAAAGAATACATTTTTTAAACTTTTCTTTAGAAATCCAAGATGGCGGCCGAAAAGAGGGTATGAGGGACAAATTGAAAATTCGATTTACAAAGTGAAAGCTACCGTTCTATCCTTGCTATCATACATTTTTATGATGCTTAATAGTCAAAGATTAAGATTATACATGTTTTCGTTTTGTTCCCTTTAAGTGAGCCATACAACCTCCCTAGCTGATGGACTAATTACTATACTTGTAAAGTTATTGCGTCGATCATAACAATAAAAAAAAGCTTGCGCCGCACCACGCTCCAAACATCAAACTTCGATTATTACTATACTTGTAAACTTGCGCGTTGATCATAACAATAAAAATATTTCGATTATTACTTTCATTGCTTTTAGTGCGCTCTACAACAGCCGACTCGATCTCATCTTCTACCTCCATGTCGTATTGAAAATAAGAAGCAAGCAAATAGGAGACTTCTGCACGCAGCCTATATGAGCCCAGAGACGAAGACTATGCCTTCTTTTTGACAGTACCATGGGGTATTTGAACAGCCCGATTGTCCCCGGGAGTTGGCCTGGGTGGAGAGAGGCACTGTGAAAGTAAAGTGTCTTGCCCAAGAACACAAACACAGTCACCCCGCCCAGGGCTCGAAACCCGGGCCGCTCGGGCCCGAGCTCAGCGCGCTAATTACCATTAGGCCACCGCGTCTCCCACAAATTTCCCATTCGTAGCCATTATTTCGATCGTGACGCAAATAACTGGTCCACGTGTTGACCCAATTAATGTCTGGGAGGATAATACCAAAACTCAGGAAAAAGCCTCTACTTCTTCAAGAGCTGATGCTCGGGCAAAGCAATAGCCTCTGAACAGACTCCTCAGTCTGGTATAGAGGGGAAAAAGTTATCGGCAGGCGGAGCGAGTCGAGCATTGACTCCCCAGGACGTTAGCGAGGTAGCATATTGAGGCGCCGCGCTTCTCGTCCAACTGACACCATTACCTGGTCTGTTCACTGGCTACGAAAGCGACAAAAGGTTAAAAAAACGAGGCCGTAGTGATATATACTCGCGGTAAACACTGATAATTTACTTGTTGAGTGTTTTATGAAAGCCATGGCCTAAACCGGATTTAAACCGTATTTGATACACCACTAAACTACGTTATCCCTAGTCCTACACTTACACTTCATCTCTGGTCCACGTGTATTTTTAGAGTACTAAGAAGGATACTTTGATTCGGCATTCTGTTTGAAGAGTCTCCTTCGATCTAGGTATTTTTAGGATAAAAGGAATACCGATGACCTCGTGTGCCTTACGTGTCAGGCACGTGTGTCGCACATGCCTGGTTCACATCTGGCTTGCATATTGGTTCAGCACTCCAAGTCTTGGTGGTACGATTGAGAATTAGAGTTCACAAAACTAAAACGCAGTACTTGAATCAACACTATAGACTAATGTAGTGTTTTAATGCTGAATGCCTGGGAAAAAAAGAATGTCTTCCTAGCTACGTGACGGAGTGACGGAGTTAGCCGTTTGTAATTTGTTCGTCGTTTATAATCCGTATTATAATAACTTCATCGGGCATTGTGGCGTATTTTGCGGGCTAAAATGGAGAATTCAGCGGGCTAAAATATATTTTAGCCGCGCTGAACTGAGGCCAATCAGAAACAAGAAAATAACGTAGCAGCCCAATCAGAACTGGAAACCATTCAACTGTTCGCGCCGTTTTCTTGGAATTTCAAAGCGCCGTTTGACTCGAAGTGCTGCCATCTGCAGCTGCAACAGCTATTGTTTTTTAGCTTTATATTTCAGACTGACTGAAAAGCTAACGAAGAAGGAAAATTTTCAGCCTTCTCCGTACAGCTAGTTGAAGAGGACTTACAGAAACTCGAGGAAGAATCCATACACGGCGGCGAATTGAATGTAAGTTTGTCCTTCTTCGATCGAAAACCCCGCTCAGTTCAGGCAAAATATTTTATGCCAAATTGCCAGTTCAGTAATTGCCATGATTACTGTTCCAACACTTCTAGATGACTATTCTTTGCTGTTGATGGAATTCTGTAATTTTTCCTTTCAAGAGAACTTTAGAGCACAGATTGTTTCGACGAATTTTGCGGACGGTTTTTTGCCAAGTTTTACCACAGGTCGCCAAGCTAAAGATAAGAGAACAGTGTCACGGTATAAGCGGTATTGTGTTACAACGGCTCCATTTATAAGGGTTTGTATGGGAACGCAACGGTTATGTTTTAGAAGATATAAAATCGAATGTTTTGTGAATAAAAACGACTTACCCTGTTGCTGTGTTGTATTCTTTGTAGTTTACCAGCTTCTCAGGCCGGTTTGAGGCGATTTAGGCGAGTTTTAGTTTTCGAGGTTTTCCGTTAATATAAATAGGGAAGGTCGGAAAGAAATTTCAAATCCAATCACTCGAAGATCGATAAATTCCGTTAAAAATGCTCAAATCGCCTCAAAACTTACACCAGTGTAATCTCCGATAGCGAATGTTCCCTCTGGTTGTATTTTCGGCTTCCAAATGCCGTTCTAACTGCAGATAAACTTTCGTCAGTTCGACACTCGCGTTTCCTGATAGCCGTTGGACGTTTGAACCACACACAAAATGGCGTCATGTCGACAAAATCACCCTATGCCTGGGAGGGGCATGGACGTATTATCATCGATAAAAAATGACACTGCGGGGCCCGGAGAGGTCGATTGTCACACTGACTTTCAAATTGTAATTCGAAACTAAAAGTAAAGCCTTATTCTTCAGGCCAAACGGATTAAAAGCAATTTCTATGCTGTTGAGTATCTCCATAGATTTATATATTTTTCTTCTCTGCTTGCAATTTTCGAAAACATTGATTTAGTCCGATATTTATCTGCTTTCAGTCGGACGGATCGATCGATTCTCACTGGAATGTGACGGTTGGTCACGGTTAGCGGTCGACGTTTAGGCGGGAAATTTTCACGTGCTGGTTTCCGATTTCAAGTGACAATCGACCTCTCCGGGCCCCGCAATGTCATTTTGTATGGATGACAATACGTCCATGCCCCTCCCAGGCGTAGGGTGATTTTTGTCGACATGACGCCATTTTGTGTGTGGTTCAAAAAACGTCCAACGGCTATCTGGAAACGCGAGTGTCGAACTGACGAAAGTTTATCTGCAGTTAGAACGGCATTTGGAAGCCGAAAATACAACCAGAGGGAACATTCGCTATCAGAGATTACACTGGTAGAAGTTTTTGAGGCGATTTTGAGCATTTTAACGGAATTTATCGATCTTCGAGTGATTGGATTTGAAATTTCTTTCCGACCTTCCCTATTTATATTAACGGAAAAACCTCGAAAACTAAAACTCGCCTAAATCGCCTCAAACCGGCCTGAGAAGCTGGCAAACTACAAAGAATACAACACAGCAACAGGGTAAGTCGTTTTTATTCACAAAACATTCGATTTTATATCTTCTAAAACATACCGTTGCGTTCCCATACAAACCCTTATAAATCGAGCCGTTGTAACACAATATATACCGCTTATACCGTGACACACTGTTCTCTTATCTTTAGCTTGGGCGACCTGTGGTTTTACAATGAAATAAACGTCGACCCGACGCCGGCAGTGTTCAAGATAATCGCTTACTGTCTTTGATTCCTTTTCTAAATGCCCTCTGAAATTATTATAATAGTAATAGAAGGCGGCTCGGGCTAAAATGAGCCTGAGTCGGGCCAAAAACATATTTACGCCCGCGAACATCAACTCTATTGTTATATTAATCTTCCCCAATTATAGCCTACCTCGTTCCTGTTTGGTTTATTACTTAATTACCTCTTTGGTGTTTTCCTACTTTAGTAGACTGTTATTTTATGGTTACACATTGTAGCTCCTTTAGCATCCCAAGATAAAAGAGAGAGGAGCTCGGACCGACTGTCTTCCTTGGCGAAGACAAAGTCAGTAAACGGCCAAGTTATCGATGGAATGGCTGAGAAGCTTTCAGGTTTTTTTTTTATCATTACTGGACACAAGTATTCAAAACGACTGAAGAGAACAAAATAGACAAAATTGTGTCCTTAGCAAACTTAACTTATGTTTAACTTTTTTTCTTATATATGTTTGTGCTTCTTATTTCACCAGTGCATGTGACCAGAGTAATATAAATACAATTATAACATTTTTAAAAAATCATTTTGAAAGATCAAAATAACAGGGTCTAACAGGTCTGATGAAAACGTATTGCAGATTCATTGGAACTTCTCGTTACTTTGCGAATAGGAAAGTATACATCCTAGTTTGCATGAGTCTGCCAGCTTTTGTTCCCATCATATATTTACAGTAATGTCTGAATGCCCCTTCCCCCACCCCTTAGTGCTAGCTCCAGGCTAAATCATTGTTTAATTATCTCTGCCCCCTACTTTTTAACTCGGAAAATGGCTCAAAGCCATTTCCGAGTTGTAGCTGTGGGAGGCTAATTTCACTCCTTCGCTTCCTGTTAAACATTTTGTAAATCTGCTGACTAGTGCATAACGCTTGCGCATATATTGCGCATAATATACAGTGGGACATACAGTGGAACTCTCCACGCGAAACGAAATTGTTTTGAGAAATCAGGAAGTTCGAAATATCGTGGGTAAAATTACAGTGAAACAAATAGAAAGGAAACGACTTTTGGCTCGAGTTATCGGGGTTTTCGAGAAATCGAGGTTAGAAAAATCTAAGTTTCAGCAGTAATCGAGGTCGAGAAGCCGTCTTACATTTCATTATTTATTTCATCCTTCAATAAACAAACACCTTGTTTGAGTTCGAAATCGAAATACTCAACAACCAAAAAATATAAATACATGCGTTAAAAAAGTAAAGGGGAAAAAAAGAAAAAAAAGGAAACCTTCTAGGGTTCAACCTTCTAGACTTCAAAGCGCTACTTATATCCACTGCGCCAGAACTCGTTTCCGTTTCCGTTTTATTTTATTTGTTGTTATATTTTAGTTGATCGACACATCCCTTGTTAATCAAGGGGTGAGTGTGTCCCAAATTTGTAAGTCAAGGTGATTTTATTTTTTGAGTCGAGTAGACCTCGTGGGTAGAATTCGAGTATAGATTCAAGTGTATTTTACCAGATAAGAACCATAATATATTCATTTATTTAGTAAACGACACAAAAAATGACCCTGGCCAGGGCTCGAGCCCAGCCTGCTCGATCAGAGTGCAACGCGCTAATCATCATGCCACCACGCCTTCCGAAGCAAACAACGTCATGTATTTCGGCTTTGTAAACAATCATATTACTTTATAAACTAGTAGTAATCACAAATTAAGAGAGTGCGTTCGACAGGTTAATCCAAAACAGAGGATGGTTCTCAAGTGGTCACGAACGAACTTAGAACTTAGAACGTTTGCTTTCTGCTGATCAATACGAAACCTGTTGGCCTTGCAATATGATTGGCTTGATATATATAGAAAAGTGTCCGTTGTCCGTATTAACCGGTGTCCGTATTAAGCGGGTTAATGTAAGATAAAATATATGAGCCTTTCGTCGGGACAAACAAAACTGTCCGTAATAAGCGGGTGTCCGTATTAAGCGGGTGTCCGTAAAGCGGGTTTCCACTGTATACATTTAGGTTGAGTTAACCATTTGTCAATTGCAAGTGCCCCCCCCCCCCCCCCCCCACAGTCCCTCTATTTTTTGCGCTAAAATCGTCCCGCTGTCACGAACGATCG